GGGACACCACTTGTCACCAGCCTCCAACTAGACTCAGCGCCGCTGATGACAACCCTCTGAGTTCTGCCATTCAGCCAGTTCTCTATCCACTTCACCGACCACTCATCCAGCCCACACTTCCTCAGCTTCCCCAGGAGGACATCATGGGAGACTGTGTCGAAAGCCTTGCTGGCATCTCCATTTCTGTATTGAGCTTTTTAGCCTCAAGATTCTCTCCTGGCTTGAAAGCCTGCTGAAGCTGTCATTTCCCCATCATGCTCCCAGCTCAGCAAATTACAGTCTGCTAGCTGCAGCTCCTCAGAGCCTCATCAGAGCAGCAGTCTTTAAAAGGATTGAGGAGACCCTATGTGGACGCAAACAGGTAGCTGCTGCCTGGGTACCTGGGAGCAGAAGGGATGTGACACAGACCACAAGGCAGCTGCAGAGACAGTGCTGCCAAGCTCTGCTACACGTGCACCTCCTGCATCACCTCCTCCTAACTCAGAGCCATCCTGCTGGCCTTGGCCTCATTAAAACCATGCTGGGAGAGTCACACTCTCATCTGGAGGGTGATTGTTCCCTCCTGCTAGCAGACTGCAGAGATTGGCTTCATTACCGGATAATTTTGGAGAATTGCTTCTTTTTATGAAAGCAAAACCTGTAGCAATCCTTTCTCTCTTGGCTGTTCTCAGCCTTGCTGCCCTGAGGTAAGGAAAACAAACAAACCAAAACACCAGAATCCAACAACGGTGTTTCTCTCTTCTAAGGTGAAAAAGATTGCTGTCCATTTATCCATGGAAAATGGCCAGGGATATAACCCGCTAGCCATGTTACCATGAAGGAAATGCAAGACTTGAATGAAATGGTCTGAAGACACAGACCCTGCTGCCTGCTCTGCTACATCCTCCCCAGGGAGAAGAAATGTGCAGGGCTGTTTTTGAAGGGCAGGACAAGCCATTTAAACTATGCTCCAAGCCCTATCAAGAAGGCCTTTTTTTATAACTGCAGTTCCTTTTTGATTAAAGAGCTGTGGTTGATTTAAGGATCTCCATCCAGTCCAGACCTTGTGCGTGACCCACCTCCTCCGCACATCAGCACCAAGTCATCTGTTGTGCTTCTCATCGGTCACAGAGCTCCTGCTCTCTGCAAGCAGACAGGGTCCTGCAATCCCAAGATCTTGTCTCTGATTCCTCCACCCTTATCTCCTCGTTCCAAAGGAAATGAAGTATTTGGCCACCACCACCGTTTGCATTGCAGGCATCTGAATAAATTAGTCGTATCTGTTGCTCACCACCACTGTAGCGTGACTGAGGCACAATAGAAAAACTGCATAAAACTGCATAAAACACAGCCAGCACACCAGTGGAACAGAAGCTTACTTTTATACCACGTCTTCCAGTTTCTCCCTATCCTCCCCCCATCCCCTCTCCCTTAATGCAGAAATCATGGCCCAGGACTGGTTCAGCTGCAGACAAGAAGCTCTACTGCCAAAGTCAGTTGTCCCCAGGAGGCTTCGGAAAGCTGCCCACTGGACTTGTGCGTAGAGGAACAAGTGTTTTCCTGCTGGCTTTGGTTGAAGGGTCCTTATGGATCCCATTGGTGTGTGCAAGGGGAATGTGCACCGTGTACTCATTTATCAGTGCAGACGTGTTCCTGAGCATCTCATGGAATGTGTCCACTGTCTTCCTGTAAACGTCCCTGTGTAGCACAAAGGGACGGAAAAGGTTGAGAGGCTCAGCCCTCTGGAATATGATAGGTAAGCCCAGCTCCGCTGGTGCCTTCCCATTGCCAATGAAGAAGTGGCAGAGCTTCTTTTCATGCAAACATTTCTCCAGGAATTTCAGCATGTCCTGTAGACGGGCCTCCAGCTTCTCTGGGGCCCAGTCCTGACTCGGATGAGCCTGCAGGAGATGCAGCATCACTGTCTTCAGGTGGTAGTTGGTGAGCCCGCTTGGACCTGTGAGGCTGCACTGCTTCCCGTGGAGGAAGGAGAGGATCTGAAGGCAGATGACATGGCAGGCGTTGGCAGGCAGTGTTTTGGAGACCAGCTGGATGAATCTCCTCTCATACACTGCAAAGGTGAGAAACCAGTGAGTGCTGGAGCGGTCTGCAGCCAGGCCGCTCCAAGGGAAATGAGAGATGAAGTAAACGTCAGAGTTCTCGTACTGCACCACAGGGGTGAGGTTGAATGCAATCGATTTCCCTGATCTAAATTTTATCTTCAGGGCTCCTGGCAAGTCCAGGAGGCTGAAGGAAAGGTCGAATTCATACTTGTGGGAGATTCTGTTCCAGGCCTTGGTGACCGCGATTTGGAACCACTTCATGACTTGGTTGGCATCCAAATACTGAGTATTTTTGAAGCACAGGAGGTCTTCCATCTCACTGCTAGGCCCGGTAGTATTGGCTTGGCTATGGAGGAGGCACAGCATATCTTCTCCTAGTTTAGTCTTGTCACAGATGCAACCTGTCACATCCTCATCTGCCCTGCATACCTTGATAGTGCCATAACCTTGTTCATCTGGGGGAAAAGACTCGCCAGAGCACCAGATCTGGGACCGAAAACAGTATGGCTCTGGTGGGGCAAAAGGCACTATCAGATCACACACAAAAGGTTTACGCACTCTCCAATTCTCGTACATGCTCCCCACACCCATGCAGTCCTCCACTTCCATGTCAGCATCCCGGTTACAAACGCTCCTCAAGGCCTCCAGCAGGTCATCTGCAAAGCCTTCCACCATCTCCCGCATCCTGGCCATGTCTCCAGTGGTACCCAAGATGCGCTTCTCATAGAAGCTGGCTAAAACAGCCTTGTCAGGGAAGGCCACACCTTTCAATGCTTTCCCCAGGACAGCCATGTCATCCTCTTCTCCTCCTGTGTCCTGCCAATTCCCTTTCCCCTCCACTACCTCTGCAGCCTTTTCCAGAGCCTTCTGTGCGGCTTCTCGGTCTGCGATTTTCTGCTCCCAGTACAACTGCTGCAGCCGAAGGCTCTCCTCCCACTCCTTCATCTTCTGGATGATTTCTTCTGTGTTCTCGGGGACAATGCCATTCTCCTTAGGGAAGAGGAGCGGCTGGTTGACGATAGCTGTAATCAGCACTAGGCACACCCGGAAGATTCCTACGGGCATGGCAGTTCCTTCTCTGGAAGAGAAAGAAAGGCAGAATGATCCACAATTCAGAGTATACTCTCCTCAAACAGAAAAATGAAAGAAACTCCCCACTTGAATAAAAGCTTTGGCATCCTTTCCAGCCCTGAAAAAACTGCTTGAGTCTAAAAGCTCCCAAGCGCATGCCTGTTTCTGCAAGTCATCAACCAAGCTTCCCAAAGAGACTTTGTCAGCAGATGGTGAGGATGGAAGTGTCTTATCAAACAGACTTCGAAGAATAAAATTGTGAAGGCACTTCCTACTGTCAACCCACTGCAATGCTGTTGGGGCAGTGTGGGAGGGCACATCCTTCCTCCCTCGTTTAAAGTTCTCAGGATAGAAATGCAAAGAAGCAGTCAGGACCTCCCCAGGCATAAAAAAGAAGAACTGAAGATAAGCACTGCTTTCCCTCAACATAGGGCTAGTGTTGCAGACATTGCAATGGCACAGGCAGGGTTGTCCTGGCCACCTTCTGTGTTTAGCATGTCTGGGGATACACACAGCCTGCTTGGACCAAAGCAGTCTTCACTGCCAGTGCTGGTGATGTGCACCTGAGTGGGAAGAAGCCTGCACGGTTTTGTGCTTCTGAGCAGGCACTGCAGGCAAAGCTCCTTCTGCCTTTCAGCACCGTCAGGATCAGGCTGTGGCAAACCCTCCTGGCCCCCAGGATGCCTCATGACTGTGGTCCCCGGAAAAAGGACAGAGACAGAAAGACTGCTAAACTGGAAATGGTTTCCTTTAGCCCAATGGTTTTAAAAGCCTCGGGTTGTTTATTTTTGGTGCTACTTCACTGTTAACCTGTGGAAGACATTAGTAAACACCATGGCTTTGATCTAATCCATCTCCCCCAAACACTCCTTTAAAAGCTGTGCTTGCAGCCAGCTCACTCCTTTGTGAATCGACCCCAGCGTGGCTGTGGGACACAGCCCAGGTCTCGGTGTCCTGGTGCTGGCCGCAGGCAGCTGTGTGCCAGCAACTGTCCCACGCATCACCCCTTGCACAGGCCCTTGGCATGACTGAGGCTGCTGTGGCATTTGGGAGTTGCTTCGTGTGGTTGCTGGCTCTGCTGCTCGGATCTCGTGCTTAATAAAGCTTTCCATGCCATGGAGCTCATGATGAAAGAATTTAATTCCCAGGTTTCCAGGACATGGTTCCATTGCTGGGGCACCCGCCTGGCTCTGACGAGGCCTCCCGGAGGTCTGGGCCAGAGGGTGCTTGGGCTAAAGCCTGGGCCACTTCCTCCCAGGCAGCATTTCTATTTGTGGAGGGCTGGCATCGCTGTCAAGATCCCAAGTGCCTGCTCAGGGCAGGACAATCTGAGGTTGTCACCCACTGCTGAGACATGGCAGGCTCACCAGTCCCTCTTTCGAGCAACATCACCCCTCAATCCTAGCACAGGGAGACCAGAAGGACAAGATGGACAAGCAAGGTGTTTTGGTTTCGGCTGCTGCCGGCAACAAAAGCGCCACGCGGCCGCCCCTCCCGCTCTCCCGAACCGGACTGGTGCTGCGTGCTCCCGAGCCATGAGTGAGTTCCCACTGCGCCGCCCCCCCCACTGGAACCCAGCGTGACGGCACATGGTATGGAATACCGGGCTCTGTTTGGCCAGGTGGGGTCAGCCCACCCGGCTGTGCCCCTTCCCGGATTCTGGTGAAAATTAACCCTGTCCTGGCCGAACCCAGGACACAAGGGTATTTCTGGTTCCAGCTGGGACATTTTAACCAGCTGCTTTAATGCCTCAAAAGTGTGTTTAACAGAGCAGGGTTTCTGTTACAGAAATAAAGTCTGTCAGTAAAATACCCAATCAACCAGACCAGAGACAGTAACCTCATTCCTAACAAACCAATTAATCCTGCTGTGGCAATGAGGCTGTTTCACAGAGAGTCAAGAGATGGCAAGGCACTGTGTGCACTGGGAGCTGAGGTCTGTGATTTTCTCCTGCAATAGCTCCTTCCTGGTCCAAACCCAGCACGTTTTCGTGCCACAGCAATCCTGCTGCCCCAGCCTCTGGGCAAGAAGGAGAACATCTCTGGCAACCTCATTTATACCTCCACAGGGCACGCAATAAAGATAGATCCATCCTAGTGAGCGTTGTTATCGTTACTGCACAACAAACTGCTGGCTTTTGATTGCAGGAACCCAGATTTCCTTGATGTGAGCTCTTACTGTGCATGGGAACTATATCCTTCGGCGTGCAATTATCTTTGCTTACAAGAGGGCTGGGACTGGAATAACAAGGGAAGGGAACAGGACCGAGATGCATTGTCCAAGCAGCAAGAAAATTCACACGGTGCGCAGGATAAGGCTATGTGCCCCTCCCTGTGTAACATTTACTAACTACCCTTTTTTTAGATCCCATGTACGTGCATAGATGAGTGCCCTTATGCAGACATTGCTCTGGAGATGGCTTGCGGGCCTTTCTTCTCCTTTTTACATTTACATTAACTCTTTAATTCATCAGGCAAGGAATTAAAGCTGAATTAATGCTCAAAGCTGGGTGTTCCAGTTATTCTGTGAGCTCCACGCCTGGCTACATTTTAAAAATAAACTGGGGTCGCCCTGCATTGCAAAGGGCTTTATCGGTTTGCTGGGGCAGTGCAGGAAGCAGTGGCGAGTTCCTTTCCTTAATGCTAGGCTCCTGCAGACCACGTGTGCTTTCTGAGCTTAAAAATAACATGGCCAGGGGCCAGGTGCCTCCTCCTGCAGTCTTGAGCAGGATGACATTGCTGCTCTGCCCTGCTAGACCTCTGTCCCGGTGGATTAAATGTTTTACTGTTACCAGTACCAGTTACCGTTAATCCTTAGATATGTAAGTCTGAAAGAAGTCAGCTTCCTTTGGATCTTCTTGTACCCCTCAAGATTCTCCCACGCCCCGCTGCCCATGGGCCCATGCTTCCAGAGTTTACCTGCCCCAAAGCTATGCTAGCAGCAGGGATTAGGCCAGGCATCCCCAAGCCCATCACTGGTAGACTCAGCTGAATTCTTTCTGGGCCACACTGACAGCCTAAGCTACCCCAGCTGATTTTTCAGGAGCAGGTTAGGAAGCATGCACATAACCTCTTCCCCCAGCAAACTCTACAGGCGTCAGCCTTTGGAAGAGAGTTGGGATGAAAACTGGAAGTGACAACATCTTCAGGTCACAAGAATTTGCGAGAGGAGCATCTGTTTTCAGCCTGAACAGAGGAATATCTCCGGATTAAAACTGCCCTTGTGCTACTGTAGCTATTCACATCAGAAAGTCAAGCCAAACATTAACCTCAGTTAAGTCTTAAGGTTAATAGTGCTCAGTGACCAAGGTCAGTGGAGCCTGGCCTTGGCAGCAGCAAGGGTGATATGAGCAGAGTGTTCCCACATCTCATCATACACAGCTCTCCTGGCTAATATGGAAAGGCTAAATAATACAGGTGAAACCAGCAGCACTGCCTGCTAGGGCGGTCCAGCCTCACCCATAATAAAGGCCGCTCTTCTGCCTTGCTTTTAACTTCAGCCCAAGCAATTTATGTCTGATAAAAATATTTATGCCTGCTCTGGCTGAGACAGCTTTTGTGTGGGGAAGAGAGAGAGAGAGTCCAAATGTTTTTAAGCTGGAGACTAAGAAAGAGAAACTTCACTGTTTCATCTATGTGTCAAATTTGGCAACATTTCAAATATGGGGGGGAAAAAAGTATTTTTGACTTCTTAAACAGCAAGTTCTCAAAGCGATCTCCAACCTTTTCCAAATTTTTGCCCCTGCCAGTTTTTTCCCATTCAGAGTTGTTATGGTTTGGGCTGCGGCTGGTAACAAAAGCGCCACGCAGCCACCCCTCCCGCCGCCGCGGTGCGGAGAAGAATGGAAAGAAACAGGCAGAAACTGGTGGGTCGGCATAAGGGCAGTTTAACAGAACAGCAAACAAAGGGAACAGTAACAACAACGACACAGATAAGGAGAAAACACAACACAAACCACATGACCCACAGAGCCATTCTCCTGGATCGGACCGCGCACACGCTCCCAATCCGCGAGTGAGTTCCCGCCGCCCAGCTCCCCCCCCACCGGCACCCAGCATGATGGCACATGGTATGGAATACCCAGCTCTGTTTGGCCCGGCTGTGCCCCCTCCTGGATTCCAGTGAAAATTAACCCTGTCCTGGCCGAACCCAGGACAAGAGTACAGACAGCATCCAGGCTTGGTAACAGGCTTACATCTAACGACTTTCTGCAGACCCTCTTGCGGAAGTCCAAGGGCTCCAAAGGCCCACCCCGAGCGAGGGTGCCGTGGTTCTCACCACATCGCAGGCAGGCCACCTCCACGAGCAGCCGAGCCTGCCCTCGCCCTGCTTCCTGGGCCAGGGCATTCCCTGAGTGAGAGCGCAGAGACCCCATCTCTTGTGGGCACAAAGCAGGGAAAGAAGCAGTGAGACCAAGGAAAGCTGCTCAGGGAAGGAAAGATAGCCAGGGGAAAGCAGGTTTGTGGAGCTCCACTGTCTTGACGCAAAGCTCTGTCTCTGCTCACTGCCCAGCATGTGATGCGGCTTGTTCAAACATGCCTCTGGCACCAGAATTAGTTTCCTTCTGGGCTTTTCTGTGGCACTCACTGCTGCAGTGGCTGGGTGCTTCACTGATTTTAAGGTTAAGGGCAACTCTGAACAACCCTGGGAAGCGAGGGAGCAGGTGCCCTCCCACCCACCAACTGCGGAGCGAGGGCTCAAAGAGATAAAAGCCTATGATTGCTTTGCTGCCCAATTAGAAACAATGATCAGCTGCATCCTGCAGCACTTGGTATGTTCAAAGGCTTCACCAGCAGCACCTGCAGCCCTCCACCCTCAGCTCCCAGGCAGGTTAGGACTCATCCTTTCAAGCCTGAAGCAGCCTCCCCGGCTGGCGGATCCCAATCAGCCCCACAGCAGGTCCTGGATGACACAGGGAGCCCTAAGAGGGGAAGGGGAAAGATGACACTGGTTCAGGTTGGTGCCACGAAGCCGCATGCAGAAGGAGGCCAGCT